GCAGAAATGCACGTTATTATCATTTAGAAACTTCTGTAAACATCGGCATCTGTCTATTCAGGATATCGGCATTGTTTTTCAGTCCCAACGAACAAGTTGTTATGAAAACGAATCTGTAAAAACCGGCACATGAAAGACGGCGTAACCCTTTGATGTAACTAGGTCCAAATGATGTAACAACACAATTCGCTGTGACTCCCGAGATTATTCAGAAACGGGAAGTGTTAATCAGTATCTTGTTAATCAGTGAGTGGTACGTAACACTTACCCAGAGTAATTAATACATGTAGTGGGCAGTTTGACTGTATAAACAAGCAAGTGTTTACATTTTGTTGATTCGCGGGTATTGACTCCCGAGATTATTCAGAAACGGGAAGTGTCAATCAGTTTCTTGTTAATTAGTGAGTGGCACGTGTCACTTACATAGAGGCGAATCGTTTGATGGCGTGTATCGTTCGAAAGCTCTGAACAACAACAATATCACTGTACTCTTGCCGAGAGTATTTTCACATTTGTAAGAAGCGATTTTATTGGATAAAGATTGGTTTCTAACGACGCTTTTTCACTACACTCTGCTTATAAGGGTCGTGATTGGTCAAAATCAGACACGTGACCTAAGCAACCAATCATATTATGGAAATGGATACCGTCCTCGTAAACGGAAGCTTTTAGATTAAGACGAAAGTTTTTGGGTAAAATAATGCTATTCTGAACATATTAAGAAAGACATCGCTACCTATACGTAAATTATGGAACGTATTGGACATATCGTGCTAGGTTATGGCCTATGACAAAAATGCTTCATGCATATATTTTCACATTAAGCATCGTGTGAAAGCCGAGATGTAACTTGTCAGTGACTTGACTTACATTGCATGATCGCACAAAAGTATGGAAATAGTAATTTTATATGTACGTTTGACAACTTTTATGAATGTTATTGTTGATTTCAATTTATTTAATGATTTCCTCGATGTTTGAAACATCGTTACTTTGCTCTTTGACAATGCTATTGTAGACCCGCTGCCGAAGCATAAACAAGAATCGTTGTTTGCAATAACATTGCGAAAAATAGTTTATAATTTTAATTCTGCCGATAATATATGATCAGTTGAAATTTAATAAGAGATTCCAGACATTTTTATTTGATTTAAACAACATGAATGTGCATTCAGACACTGCCTTGTTTCTTATTCAAACATCTTGTTAATGCTAAAGTGACAGTACGACAGCGAACTTCCGTGTGCGCAGGCGTCATAAGCGAACCTAGCTAAACCGGCACTCTGTCAAAACCGGCATTTTTACTTGGTCCCGACTGATGCCGGTATTGACAGAGTACACTGCCATTAGGTTTGGAGATATCGCAAGAATACTCGCTGTGACCTTGAAAATAATCCGAAGGTCACTGAATTGGACTGGCGTTAGACGATACTCCCAACGCATCTTGGTACTACCTTTAAGCAAAACATATTAATTCTGTCTTGTATTTTCGCACTAAAAAGTTAGACATGTGCAAAACACTTTTCACTGTGAACTTAAAATGAGCACAAGTTTCCCAATCAATTGGTGTTGGGGGAATCGCCGCCAATACACCTTGATATAAAATTGGATCAAAATCTATTAATACTTTCCTGAGTTCGCGGCTACCAAGCATGGCATGTGCAAAACTGTTACACCTTCGCTGTGACCTTTAAAATGACCTAAAGGTCACTAAATTCAAGTGGTGTCGGTAAATCTCCAGTCTCCAGTCAATAAACCTTGGTACCAAATTTGAACAAAATCCATCATTTCTTTCTCGAGTTCTTTCAGTAAACAGAATGGGGAGTCATTTGAACAAGCGATTGTAGTTTTGAAATTGCGTTTTTGTGAAGTTTAATATCTAAGTTTGATTCTAGCCGACTTCTACCAATCTCAAACATAGCATATTTTGTTTCCTGAAGTTTGTGATGCATTTTATTGCAGATTTGCAGCCAAGATACGAAGTCTCACAAAATGGGGATCGTGAGGCTGCAACATAGCAAAATCAATTTGCTTGAGGCTGACGGATAATATGTAGAAAAATAAAACATAAAAACAGCTGCATTTGTATCATATTCTAGGTGAGGCTGACTACTATTTGAACGTCCCTCGTAGTTATACCCGAACACCCACCCATCTCTCCGACTCTACATGCATGCAAGTGTGTTAGATATACCCGTTAGAAACCCACCCCTACCCCACTCCCACTTTATATGTATACATATCAAAACCTCAAAAGATATTTGCGAAAAGACATGATACAGAGGACAGTTTATATCGAATATACATCAGGACGAATATCATTTTCGTCATTTAGCTAAGATTTGTCAATTCATTCTTGGGTTATCGCGCTAACAATCTTTATATTGGCAAAACCCTCAGATTTTTGCTGTGACTTTGAAAATTATCTCAAGGTCACTCCATTTCACTTGTGTCGGTGAATCTCGCCAATATACCTTGGTACCAAATTTGAACAAAATGCATCATTTCTTTCTTGAGTTATCGCCCTAACAGCTTATTTGATGTATGAAATGCAACGAAAAACAAACACCCGCGTATTTACGAGTATTTAACCCATGGTTAGTTACATTATTTGACAACACCTGAAACACAATTTCAAATAATATTCTTGTGTTTTCAAAATGTGATCTGTCATTTAGATACTGGTTATTTGTGTTGAGAAGAGACAGCCTTTAAAAATGGTACAGATTGGGGTGGGGTCATTATGCCAATTTACTGTACATTTTGGGAATTGAATAATGGCCTAAGGAACCGTTCATAATATATTTGGGGGATGTAGGGTGTGAGGTGACGATGAATTTAAGGGGGGTCGCTTATTTTGTTCTGGAAAGGTAAAGGTCATCAATTTTGTACACATGTACTAGGGGGGTAAGCAAATTTGTACATAAAAAAGATTATGCTTAAAATTATGGGGTGGGGGTGGGTTTAATTGATTTTGAATATGGCATATGCAAAGGGGGTGTCATGAATTGTAGGGGAGGTCATTCACATAGTGATGATTTTTATGGAGAAGCATGTACAAACTCCCACCCCATTAATTATGAACGGTCCCTACAAAATATGTAGAAACTATAAACCGGAAGTCGTGTGCTTATTTATCGTGTGAATGGGTGTAATATATTTTGTTGAACACACTGTCGTTAATTTGATAAAACATATTTTTGTTTCAAATCCTCTCGAAAACGATCCGTTGACATAACATTTCATCTTTCCATTGCATCCCAAAGCGTTATAGGCTATGAGAATGGGTTGTTTACGTGAACGAAAACTGAAGCACTTGTGTTGTGCGCGTAATCAGGTCAGTGCTAACGTTATTTGTCTAACGCTAATTTCAGTGTACACTAATCGTATGTTCTAACAACTATTACGACGCCGTTAATGCTCTGTGTAATGTGACATAGTGGGGAGTAAATGGTTTGACGAATTTACAAAGCAATTACTCAATAAGAAATTCCGAGAAACGGCAACTTTACGGTACTGAAGTACCGTTCTTAGCATGATTTTTCGTCCAGACACGCTAGTTCTTCGCGCTTTGACAGCAGTCTTCAGTCGGGGCAAGTTCCAGCTTCTGTAATTCGTAATATAAGAACCACAGAGTAAAAAGTAGGATTAATGTCGATTTAAGTTTAGACTTGGCCGATAGGCAGACCAGTATCAGAGTGACAGCTACTGTTGGACCGTAACTACCGCAGCGCTCCAAGTGGGCAAGGGGTCGCAACTCCAGGAATGTTCCCCATTGCTGAGCGTGATGTATGTCTTCAAGTTGACCATCTTAGAACCATCTAGGGCACGGGCAAGGTGTTACAGTCGCGGATTATCATCATGAAGGTGAATCTGGTATTTATAGGGGGCTAGTATGCTCCTTCAAATTACTGCTACACAACAAAAGAACACTGGTTATAGTTTATTCCCACTACTCAGGTCTAAATGTACATGTATGCATCTAGCAATACAGAAATAATGTGTATTCACACATAGACAGACGTTGTTCTAAATCACATAACGAAAACGACTGTAAACACCAGTCATATTACATCCTACAGAAGTTCCACTGTGTGGAATATATATCTGTACTGGGACATTCAATTAAAATACAAACAGAAGAAGTTTAAAAGTCACGTACCAGATGGCGCTGACGAAGCTAACTGGATGTACTGTATGACATCCATCTGCATTCGAAATAACTACTGGAAGACTTTATCCACAAGCAAGTCACTTTACATAATACTCAAGTGATGAATACCCGACAGTACAAACTACAAAACTAGTCCAGTATAAAATGGCACATCTTCATGAAATACAATAAAATGAAGGCGCTTTAAGCATTGTTGGCTTGTGATCTGGTGGGTACTGAGTAAACGTCCAGGGGGGAATATGGACATTTCATGTACACAAAATGCGAACAGAAGACCGTTCGACTGCCAACACACAAGTCACATGAAATGAAATACAAATGACGCCTTAGCGACGTTCTTTGTAATTTGCCATATGCATATTGACTACAGAATAATTGACAGCCATTTTGAATACAAACAGATTCCTATTTCACAGGTAAGTAAGTCCCCAAATTTTCAAAGTCAATTTAAACTAACCAGGATTTTTAAACGTAGTATTCTTGTTATTTTATTTTTGGCTAACATTTCTTACAATCGCCAGCAGCTGAAGGGATGGTGTAAATCCAACTAGGGTCCATGCAGGTAGGAAAGGTACTGTAAGTCCCCATGGTTCCTAGTATGGTGATCTACCTTCAGTTGTTGGCGATCTATAGCCTGTTTTTATATTGTATTGTCCAAATAGTGCTATTAGTTTTAACTTTCCACGCTAGTTTTAATTCTAATTGTGATATTCGTGTTGTTTCACTGTCCTTTGACGACAGGTTTATATAATATACACATGTTCCATTTCAATGTCAAATATGTTCTCGTCACGATATGGCTGAAATATTGCCGGCGTGACGTTAATTCTTAACTCACTCACTCATATTTCACATGCAGGTAGCTAATATGTGGTAAATACACCAATGAAATTAGCCTTCAGGATTCTCCAGGACGTTCTTGTTTAACTTCAAGAAGGTGTGTTATCATCAGATATCTGAAATACAAACAATAAAGAAAATATATAAAGTCAGACAATTTAAATACATATTTATGGAGTGGATATGAAGTATAAAGACATGTTATGGCAGATACATTACAGGGCATGTATTCACATGTTAACAGTTATGCTGAAAGGTATAATGGAACAAAGCATTTAGTTATTTTCTGTTTTCAGCCCAAGTAAATATAGGACAACTATTCTCAGAAATAAATTCTGTTCGGTGTAAAGGAAACATAGCTGTTAAAATTATATAAATGGATATCTGGAAATCAGTTTTTGACTCACGACGGTCGCGAAAAGGGTAAGCGCTTGCTGTCACAAGATTTGCCTGAAATCGAATACTTAACGGTGCTTAAAGAAATAATTTTCATACTTCCTTTCATTTAAATTTTAGAGAGATAATGAAAGGAAGAAACTCATCTACCTCAACTTTCACCTTTTATGACTGTATCCCCTTTGTTTTTCCTGACAGTTCTCTCTTCTGCAATGGAGCAGGGGCCTCTCGGGAAGCAAACATGTTCAGGACTCATCTTCCTTGCAGTAGTAGATTCACCTGGAGCAAACAGTCTGTACCAAGTTCTAACGGGTGCCAGAAGCTTGTGCGCCAGAGAAGGAGCAACACGGTCCACATAGCAGGAGGCAAGCATTCCATCAACCACTATGGTTCCACACAATGTATAGGGGGCGCACAGACCTCTTCCAGTTGTCAAGGTGACAGAAAGGACTTCCTCGGATACCAGTCTTCTTTCCTCCCCTAACACAAGAGCAGCATCACCAACTTCTATAGCTATTGCAGCTTTAGTGTTTTTCCTGCAGACAGACTTTCCAATGTGCACATGGTGATTTGGAGAAACTTTCAGCTTCTTTGACTTTGTTGATATTTCCACGAATGTATTGTTTCCATTGTGCTGTCTGTGACCAAAACGATACACTGGGCTGTACACAAGCATGCCCTTTTCACCACAGCAAAGGAGTCTGTCACCTATGTTGACCTCTGACAGGGAGACTATTTGTCCTGTGGATAACTGAACCAAGGACTCGACTGGGAAACAAGCATTCATCTCTGCATACCTTTTGCCAAAATGTTGTAGACATTTCTCGTCAAGTTGCTTCCTTTGACTGGTCAGCCGCTCGTGTTTTATCGTTAGTTCACATCTCTGCTCTTCAAGTTTTCTTTTGGACGTGATTTCATAAATTGTCTCTCGCATCATCTGATCTGAAGCCAGTTTGGCTTTGTCTAGAGCCGCTTTCATCATGGTATTGAGGTCCTTCATATTATTATCACTCCAGATCGCCTCCAAGTGTTTGCGTTTACATTTAAGAGTTTGGTTCAGTTCCTCAGAAGATACCTTCAGCTTTCTGGAGGTGATACTTTCTATCTCTTTTCTAGAGTGGGATTGCAAGGTCCTTAGCTCAATCTTCAGTTGCCATTCCTTCTCTAACCACAGCCGTTCGATGGCCTGATTCCACTCACTTTCCCTATTTTTCAGTATGTCCATCATTTCCCGAGTCCAGTTTGAAATGATGCAAGAGACGTTTCGCTCAGCATCTTCTTTCCAAGTTTTCATGTTTGCTGCCTGGTACCCTGCAACTAAATGCCTTATGTCCCTTAGTTTCTTCTCCATGCCACCATCAAAAACATCTCGCCAGTGTTTGTATACTTTTTCAACATACATATCCATCTCCTTTTTTAAGGTTGCTGTGTGTTTGCGTATTTCAGCCTCCATGCATTCCTTGTCTTGCTCCTCCTGAGCGCCTCGCATGTCTGACAGCCTTTTCCTAAGGTTTTCTGTCATGTTTTCAACCAGGTTTTGTTCTTCTTCAAGCCATTCCTGTTCTTGGTCATTTTGATGGAGGTACATCTTTTCCTCGAATGCCTGTTTAACCCTGATTATATCCTCCTCGCCGATCCTGAAATCAACATTTCTGGAAAGTGGTTTAATCATTTCATTCCATTTGGTTTCAAAGTCATACCTGATATGTTCAAGGTTTAATTTCCATTGTTCTTCATATTTAGTGAAGTCATGTAGCAATTCCTTCCGCTTTAAAAGGGTTATTTTGAGCGTTTCATCAATCTGTTTCTTCATACCTTCATCATATTCTTGATTTACCTGGCGCAGTTTTTGTTCCCATGACTGACTTTGGGTCAATAATGTTTCTTCAACGCTTGTGTCCACTTTCTGTTGGAGTCACAGTATATGTCATTCAAACATTGTTTAAATTTTCTTGCCTGACGCTCAGTAGTGGTCCTTGCTGTATTTCTCCATCTGTCCATGGATATGTGTCTTTGTTCCAGTGTGTTCTGCATCATAGACTGCTGCAATCGATCCTCAATCTTCAGATTCATTGAAAGAAGAGTCTGGCTTCCAGTGGTTTCATTCCATTTTTCTTCATACATGTGGCTTCCGCTTCTCAATGTGTCTGATAGCCTTTGAAGTAGAAGCTCCCGATTACATGTCATGTTCTGTTGGACCGTGGTCATTATGTCATCAATCTGTCTAGTCTTCACTTCTCTCTTGAACCTAGCCTGTATCTCAGTCAAATATGATCTAATTTCTTTTTGTGTGTCGAGCTTCCACTTTTCTTCTCGGTAATATTTCTCTTGAACCAATGACTTTTGCATTTCTTTGTACTTGTCACTCCATATAGCATCAAGCTTTTTCTGCCATTCTTCTTCATTCCGTTTACGTATCTCATTGATCATTTCTTCAATTCGTCCTTTTCTTTCAGAGAGAATATCAGTAATGCTGTTTCTGCATTGTAGCTCCTGGACATCCTGAACAGTATCTATTTCGTCCCTCCAGTTATCCAGGTCTGTTTTGGCCTCAAACATGGCCTTCACTCTCTCCAAGACACCTTCTTTCTTTTCAGAAATGAGCTTATCAGTGTCTGAAAGGTGTTCAGCACTTCTCTGATCCATATCCTGTAACCACTCATTCTCTAATTCTGAAATTGTATTCTTTGTGAAACCCCTCAGTCCTTTAACCTTTTTGCCAAACACCTCGTGTACCTTACTGTCCCACATCATCATGTTGGATGTCTTCTTTTCATTTACTTTCTCCCGGAATTCGTTCCAACATTCTTTCAAGCTTCCATCACTGTCAGCGCTTGAAGCAAATAATGCTGTAAGTTCTTCTTCTGTGTCCAGTTCTAACTTCAGTTCTTGGTCTTTCTCCAGCAATGCAGAAAACTTTCGTTCATTGTTTTCACAAATATCTTCAACTTCCTGTACCCAAGCCATTTGCCATTGTTCAATGTACATCGACAGTGAACCCCTCAACTTTGTTTCAGATTCATTTTGCTCTTTCTTTATGATATCATTCAACCTCCTCCCAAAGTGTTCAGCTTTTAAAAACTGTTGCTCTTTGATCTCTTTCATTCTATTAATGTTCTCAGTCTCTCCTTTCTTAAGCTTGGCTTTTTGGTCAGTCTGCAATTGTTCAACAAGCTCTGCCTGTTCTTTGTACAACTGCTCGCGCAAAGACTTGTCAAGCTCCTCTATTCCCAAATGCAACGCCTTGGCATCTTTAAAAAAGTCATTATTGTACTTTATGCCATTGTTGCATCTCCTGAGCTGGTCAATGATTTCCATAAGTTTTGACACCTGATCGAACGATTCCGACGCAGCCTCAGCGTATTTATTGTTGAACAGTACAACCCGATGTTCGCATTCAGTGATCAGATTCTGTAAGAAACCGTCAGCATCTTCAAAAATAAAGTCTGCAAATGGTTTTTCACTTTCATTATTGTCGCCATATGTGAACACTATCACAGCATATTTGGAGAATATGTCTTGCCCAAAGAGCTTTCGTATTTCACGAACAGCATTTCTTTCTTCCTCTGTCATACGATTGCCAAATCTTAGAATGAGTAGTACAGCATCATACCCATCTGGACACATATAAATAGCAGAACCAATCGCCCGCAAGTTTTCTTTCGGATGCCTTGTATCCATATTACCGGGTGTATCAACCAGATATATTTCTCGTCCTGCTACAAGTCCATGTTCAAGCTGGCACGTCTTTGTCTGAGATTTTGTGCCAGGAGAAGACTTGAAAAGTTGATGTTTCCCGAAAATTGTATTTCCTGTGGCACTTTTTCCATTACCCGTTTTACCAACAAGCACAATGCTGAGCGGTTCCCCTTCAGTCAGAACACAATTTGGTCTATACTTGGGCTGGAAATACAAATTGACTGGGACATTACTACACAAATAAGGCTTTTTTTCACAAAAAGAATGAATGGCAACAGTTAGTTTTATGTTAGATTCTAGGATTCCTGCATGTGTCTGTGATGGGTACCACTTGTGGGACAGGCTAGGCTCACCTAAATAAATCTGGTATCATCGTTGTTAGGTAATGATTCACTGAACAAAACATGATTTTGACGTTTTCGAAATCCCTTGACAATGGACTGTTTTCATTATGAAATGGGTTTTGATACTCTATCTTCTAGCTATATGTTAGAACACAAGAACACCACACCATTGGCAACCACTGAGATCTATAGTTGACAACAATATAAAACATAACAAATCTTAATACATTTATTGAAAAGGTCATAGGTTGATTAGGAGGAATGCTGAATAGGATATCATTACCTGAATATATATATATGGCAGAGTACTCCATTTGGAACCATATATGTGACTCTACTCAATAGTTCCTGTTACGTTCAGCAGATGACCGCAGAGGTGTTTTTACATTTAGACCGGAAGTAAAGAGTTATATGGATGCTTCTGGGAAGTAGATTATTCCAGCTTAGTAAAGAATTCTGGATATGTATTTATGTATTGAATGGGACAAGTACATGACTGTATCATCTCACAAAACAGCAGGACACTCGCTCGCTCACTCACTCACTCGCCCGCCTGCCACTTTTTAGCAATATTCCAGCAATATCACTAGAAATGGGCTTAACGCATTGTACCCATGTAGGGAATCGAACCCGGGTCTTCGGCGAGACGAGCGAATGCTTTAACCACTAGGCTACCCCACCACCCCAGTTATGCATAAAATATAATATATTTTGAACTAGAACATCAGGTAACGCGTTTAGATTTGGGGGTAAGGGGATCATAGTCATGACAAATATACTGAGTCAAAAAAGAAATTACACAAAATGTTATTTGAAAAATAATGAATAATTTTTCTCTGATGATACATCTATGTATCCGAAATGGGATCCCTATCTTTCGACTCTAGAAAAATGTTAGCAAAACCCACTCAAACCCATCCATTTGTCGTGCAAATGACGTTAGTGCCAAATCAGGTTTAGCACGTGCAGTCGATCACGTGATCTTCGCATCGAAGTTTTCTTCATATGCACGTGTTTGCATTGGCCTCAAGAATTGAAAAAACACTTTTAAACGTGCAACGTGAACGTGCCGTTGGCATGTTGCAAGCGGGAAGATCACTTATTGACGTCGCAAGAGCAACAAACTGGCACCACTTCTGATCGCCCAAGGTCGGGTCGTCCACGTGTGACGTCACGAGCAGAAGCCCGTCAGATCGTCCTACGTCAACTACGTGACAGATTTCTGCCGGCTACACGAACCAGGGCTGAGATGTTTAGAGGTTGACTGTCCTCACAGACCATTCGAAATCGGTTGCGGGCTGCCAATCTCCATTCTCGACGTCCATATCGTGGGCCAATATTGACGCCGTTTCATCAAAGTCAATGTCTGCTGTGGGCCCAACGTCACCTCCGATGGACCCAGATAGACTGGTATCGAATCGTCTTTAGCTATGAATCCAAGTTTACCCTCAGATTCGTGGACGGCAGGCATAGAGTCTGGAGACGACGTCGTGAACGGTATGCCCAATGTTGTGTACAGGAAGTCAACAGATTCGGGGGCGGAAGTTGCATGGAGTGGGGTGCTTTCTGTGGGGACAACCGTTCCCGACTTCTGGTCATCCGTGGAAACCTCACAGCTGCTGCTTATCGCGACCAGGTGCTCACCCCTGAACTCGTTCCTTTCATGGCGGCTCATGGCCCAAGTCTACAGTTCCACATACCGCGATGTTGACACGAAATGTCCTTCAAAACGCTGGAATCAACGTCATGGACTGGCCATCGAGGTCCCCTGACCTTAATCCAATAGAGCACGTTTGGGATGCACTTGGGAGAAGGCTTCGTGGTCTTAGGAACCAACCTCAGAATTTGCAGGAACTTGGCGCTGCCTTGCAAGAGCAATGGCGCAGAATCCCCAACCACGTGTTCACAACCATCAGGCGGTCGATGAGGAGGCGGTGTTTGGCAGTGGTGAATCTTGCGGGCGGCCATACACGATATTGAACTGAGAAATTTCGCATTTATATTCTTGTGACTTGACATTCTGTATACCCATGCTTTGGAAGGGCGGTGTAGCCTAATGGAACTGAATATGGCACTGTCAGTGTATGGAGTACATCACACAGATCTCAGCAATGAAATAATAACAATTTAACCATCTTACCATCTCTTGTTCTTTTATAGTGCCCTGAAGAAAGAATGTGAAGTTTCTTTTTTGACTCAGTATATTTTCAGAACATGTTCTATCATAACCGTGAGGTATGAAATATACTGAACCACAAAGGAAATATCGCACCGATAGCGGTTTCTTAACGCACACACTATAATTCGCTCTAATTGAAAATCAAAACGGAGGATTGAGTTCATACTTGACAACTATTGTTAAGACATTTCCGGAAATCACATTTAGAGTTCACACAAACAAAATCACCAAACATGGTACCATTGAGATAGCCCTAAGTCAGTATTGTGTGTGGCCTCCATGGGCATGTATGAAAGCGTTGCATCCTCTGTACATGGAATGAATTAGCCAGTTGATGAATACCTCAGGCACTTGGGACCATAATCTGCAAAATGCCTGATCGTGTCCAGCCGCAGTTGTCAGCCTTGGTTGGAGGTCATTCAGTCTTCTTTGAATCTATTGGATTGGATTTAAATCCAGACTGAGTGCAGGCTATTGTAGGGTTTGGATGCCATGTTGTCTTAGGAAGTCCAATGTTGCTCTGGCAGTGTGGGCACGAGCGTTGTCTTACTGGAAGATGTGATTTCTGTAACGTCCAAAATGTGGTACAACGTGGGGTCTTATGACTTGGTAAATATAGCAAGCAGCTGCCACTTCATTTCCTCATCCTGGACCCGGATTCTAGAACACCACGGT